TTTTTTTTACTAGTTAGCAAGTTTTTATTGTGATTCTTTGCAGGGCAGGATACTATACTAGATGTAATAGAGCAAGTCATCCATTTGAAAAGTTTTTCTCAATGATAATCATAAGCCAAGCAGAGTGCCAAGTGTTGGAATTCTGCCTTTTCCTCCTTAGAGCTTCCTGGCGGGAATGGGGAGAAAGGTTGGAGTTGAGAAATATTTTTGACTTCTAGGATTTATTGACTGGACGTAGGGAAAAAGAAGAAGGCCTAGTTAGAGATAACTCAGGGTTTCTAGCTTGGGAGACTGCATGGAAGGTCACACCATTTATCTGGATACTAAGATTACTAGGGAAAGTGAATATTTGACAGGTAACATAATGAGCTCCACTGCTATTCATAAGGTTTTTACTGGCTAATTTTTTCAGAAGTTGTGTCAAGTTGACTCTGACTCATGGCAATCCCCTGAGTGCAGAATAGAACCGCTCTATAGGGTTTTCAAGGCTGTGACCTTTTAGAAGCACATTGCCAGGCCTGTCTTCCAAGGCACCTCTGGGTGGGTTCAAACCACCATCCTTTCTTCTAGGAGTCAAGCACTGAACATTTGCACCAGCCAGGAACTCCCCTATTTCTAGTTAAGTGGGAAGAAGTCCAGTTTCATGAGTGACCTTGATGAGTATGTGATTTCTTCCAAAAATGCATTATTCTTGTTTTAGAACACCCTCTTCCTTGGCATTCCATCTATTTCTTCCTCCTAGAGAGAGGGAAAGTCTTAGATTAAAGGTCATTTTTGATGAGTGGAAGGGCAGCGAACATCCCAAGGAATGAAAAGTGAGAGAGAGTTGACTATTTGTTCGTTTTACTGGAGACTGACCTCAAAAAGGAAACTTCAAATCACATCGTTGCTTTCCAGGATGAGGAAAACATTATATGTTGAATTGAAAGCCTCATGTAGATTATTTTTGCACATTGCTCTTTGAAGCCTTATATGCATGCAAAATCTGGATGATGAAGAAGGAAGACTGAAGAATTGATGCCTTTGAATTGTGGTATTGGAGAAGAATATTGAATATACCACGGACTGCCAGAAGAACGAACAGATCTGTCTTGGAAGAAGTACAACCAGAATGCTCCGTAGAAGCAAGGATGGCGAGATTACGTATCACCTACTTTGGACATGTTATCAGGAGGGATCAGTCCCTGGAGAAGGACATCATGCTTGGTAAAGTAGAGGTCAATGAAAAAGAGGAAGACCCTCAACAAGATGGGTTGACACAGTGCCTGCAACACTGGGCTCAAGCATAACAACGATTGTGAGGATGGTGCAAGACCAGGCAGTGTTTTGTTCTGTTGTACATAGGGTCACTCACTGGAATCAACTCGATGGCACCTCACAACAACAACTTTGAAGCCGGTGGTAGCACAATGGTAAACACTCAGCTGCTAACTGAAAGATTGGCAGTTAGAACCCAGCCAGTTACTCCACAGGAGAAAAGACCTGGTGATCTGCTCCTATAAAGATTACGGCCTAGAAAACGCTATGGGGAAGTTCCACTCTGTCACATGGGGTCGCTATGAGTCGGAATCAGTTTGACAGCACGTAACAACAACAATAACAAGGAGGGCTTGGAAGTTAGGACTTGTTCAATGAGAACTTGGTATAATCAAAAATTCTTCCATCTCGGGTTTCACTTTGGGTCGGAGAGTTGGAAGGTCCTTCATCTAGGCTCTCCTCACCTTCCCAGGCCCCAGGCTGTAAGCAACCAAGTCAGAGCAGTCCCATATATTCTCACCCACCAGTTATGAGACAGAAGCCTGGAAGGAAAGTGGGAAAAGAATAGGGAAGGGGAGGGATTAAGGAACAGTCTAACTGAACTCCAAGGAGTGGGAGACGAGCTTCAAGTTGATAGTGTAAGCAAACGATTTCTTCTGGCCTTCCCCTTTCATTCTTTCAAGAAAGTCAAAGTGTGAGGAGCTGTTGGAAACCCATCTGGATCCGCTTTCATAGCTGGTGCACTCGTCCCCCAGATGCTGATTGTTGGCTACTGATGTAGCACAGCTGCTCCCTTCTCCAGAAAATTGCCCTCGGCCAAGAGAAACCTGTGAAGACATTGGTGGTTTAGTTGTAGAATTCTCACCTTCCATTCAGGAGACCCGGGTTCGATTCCCAGCCAGTGCACCTCATGCGCAGCCACCACCTATCTGTCAGTGGAGGCTTGTGTGTCGCTATGATGTTGAACAGGTTTCAGTGGAGCTGCCAGACTGAGGTGGACGAGGAAAAAAGGCCTGGCACTCTACTCCCAAAAACCAGCCAGTGCAAACCCTATGGCTCACACAGTCCTATCTGGAAACAATCATGGGATGGTGCAGGATCGGGCAGCATTTCATCCTCTTGCGCATGGGGTCGCCATGAGTCGGGCCAGCCCTACGGAAGCTAACAACAACACAAGAAACGACTTCAGCTGGAAGGTCATCCCACATCCCTCTGGGAAATCCACAGCTAATGTCTTACTTATTTGGGGATTAAAGATAGCTGCCCACTTGCCTCAAAAGAGGGCCAACTCTGCCCCCTGCTCTGACCTGCTCCTGAGAGCACTTCCTTTGATAAATCACTTGCACAAGAATCTCCATTTCAGGCTCTGCTTCCAGGAGAGCCAACCCAAGATTGCATCTCAGTGTTGACCATTTCCAAAGTAGCAACGTTACTTCTGCCTCAAGAAGATCATCTGGCAGGTCAGACAAACAAGGCCACCTGACACCTTAGAAAGGGCATAGGAATTGCCCTCAGAGACTCATCTGCCAGCTATGTGACCTTGAGCAAGTGTCTGAACCTCTCTGGACTCTAACTTCTGTCTGGTTGCCACGTTCACTTCCTGACACTTAGTCGTCATCCAGTGCATCTGGCTTCCATCCTGTCTTCATTTTTATTCTGAAATCTGTACTGGAAGCCAGGACAGTGCGTGATGGAGGGGAGGTGGTAGGGAGAGATAGAAAAACTCAAAGATGAGGAAACGTCATCAAGAAATATTGCTTCACATGTTTCCCTTTCCAGAACCTGGCCATAGATCGATGAGACAGAAGTCCCCGGGTGACAGGGTCAATGTCAAATCAGGTTCCCATTCTGGAGTGGACACCACCTATCCTTCAAGGATACTTCCCCTCAAATACATTTGCTCTTTCCCATTCTAAGATGCTGGATATTAACCAGACAAATTCACATCCCTCTTTTTGATGCACTTTGATTGGTGACAGATAAATCAGGAGAAACAATCTCTCTTGAGTATTAACAGGTCCTCTGGGAGTGCTGGGCTTCTTAAAACCACTCTTCCAAGTCGTTTCTTCTCCCCAACTCAGTCTCAGAGGTAGCTGCATGAGACATGTGGAAAAGGTATTATGAGAGAGAAAAAAACTCTACACATATATTATATACGTGTATGTAAAACCAAACCAGCTGCTGTTGAATCAGATCCAACTCATGGCAACCCCATGTGTGACAGAGGAGAACTGTACTCCATAGTATTTTCAGTGATGGTGACCTTCTGTAAACAGATTGCCAGGCCTTTCTTCCAAAGTGCCTCTTGGTGGGTTGGAGGCCAGCTGCCAACCTTTTGATTAGTAGTTGAGTGCTTAGCCATTTACTCCACCCAGGACCATTGATCTATCTATTTATACATATACACACGTTTATTTTATATTGTACTAAACTATATTGGCATAGTAGTTGAGTGATATGGCTGCTAACCAAAAGGTCAGCAGTTCAAATCCATCAGCCGCTCCTTGGAAATGCTATGGGGCAGTTCTACTCTGTCCTGTAGGCTCACTAAGAGTTGGAATCGACTCGATGCCAATGGGTTTGGTTTTGGTTTTCAGATATATCTATATCTATACCAATATCTATAATTGGTATTGTTAGTAGGTGCTGTTAAGTCAACTTCTTCCACTCATAGCAACCCCACGTGACAGAGTAAAACTGACCTGTAGAGTTTTCTTGGCTATAATCTTTATGAAAGCAGACGGTCAGGTCTTTCTCCCATGGAACACCTGGGTGGGTTCGAACCACTGACCTTTTGGTTCCTCTTAACCACTACACCACCAGGGCTCCGATACATACATATATATGTGTGTGTGTGTGTGTGTGTACATATGTATATACACACACACACATTTATATTATATTATACTGTACTATATATTGGAAACCCTGGTGGCATAGTGGTTTAGAGCTACGGCTGCTAACCCAAAGGTCAGCAGTTTGAATCCATGAGGCGCTCCTTAGAAACCTTATGGGGCAGTTCTACCGTGTGTGTCGCTTAGGGTCACTATGAGTCGGAATCGACTTCACGGCAGTGGGTTGTATACTGTATTATGTTATGGAGCCCTGGTGGCTCAGTGGTTAAGAGCTCGGCTGCTAAACAAAAGGTCAGCAGTTTGAATCCACCAGCCGCCCCTTGGAAACTCTCTGGGGCAGTTCTACTCTGTCCTATAGAGTTGCTATGCGTTGGAATGACGCAATGGCAACGGGTTATATTATGCTGTACTATACTATATTAAATGCTATACTATACTATGTTATGAAGGATCCCTGGTGGTGCATTGATTAAAGCACTCAACTGCTATCCAAAAGGTTGGCAGTTCCAACCCACCAGCCACTCTTTGGGAAACAACTGTGGCAGTTGGCTTCCCTAAACATTACATCATGGGAAACCCCATGGGGCAGTTCTCCTCTGACCTATCCAGTCGCTATGAGTTGGAATCAACTCGACGGCAATGGGTTTGGGTTTTTGGTTTTATACTATGTTCTATCATATGTATAAGCCATGTTAAATGGACAATGGAATACACGATGCACAGCTGGACTTTTCTCCTGCTACGTTGCAGCAGACGGAATGTGTTTCTTATTTCTGGAGACTCATAGGACCCCTCCACACTTTCTTGGCATGTTTGTGTTTTATGTTTGCTGTTCTTATTTTGTAATGGCCTGTGACGGACTCAGCCTGCCCTCTGTCTTCCTTCCAGTTACGGACGAGTTTATGCTGCCGACCCCTACCACCACACACTTGCTCCAGCCCCCACCTACGGCGTTGGTGCCATGGTGAGTACCGCTGCCTTCTCTTCCTCCTGCCTTCCTGCTGCCCTTCCCTTCCCCCAGCTGGGACCTTCGTCTGCGTTGACGCTTGACGTCCTCTCACTTCCCCTTAATTGAATTTGTCTCTTGTGCTAACAGCAGCTAAAATGCCACATTAATCCTCCCCGTAAACTTGATAAATGTCTTAATTTCTTGGCAATGTAGTGCATGTAAGTTATTATATTTCTAATTTTGCAAGTCTCACCTAGCAGAGCACTTACCTTAATGAAATAATTAGTCATTTTGATAATTAAATCCATCACTAACAGAATGCAGTGTCAATGCAGAACTTTTTTTTTTCTTTTTTGTTTCCCTCCCTTGCTGCTCATTCACATAGCCCCAAGGTTCCAGCCCCAGCACAGACTTCAGAGGAGCTAAGCTGCACACTTCCAGGCCTCTGCTGTCAGGCAGCTGAGAATCTGACTGCCTCTCCTCCCCTATTACAATTCATGTTTAAAGTCCTAGTCGCTCAGGAGAGAAAATAGAGAGAGGGACACGCTTTGTGTGTGTACCTAGTACCTAAGGAATTAGAAGGAATCCGCTGGGTTTGGGGGTTCTCTTTTATTTTCTCGGGGGGGTCTGAGTTTTTGCTTTGGGAGGGGTGGGGGGAGGGCCAAAAGGGGAGGTGGGGGGGCGAATTTGCCTGTATTTGTTCAAACTTCTATGCACTAAAACTCTTGAGTACGGTAAGACGTACCCATCACGTGAGAGCGTATGCAATCATTACAAAGCTTTTGGCATGCAGTTTTCTGCTTGGATCAACAATATCAGTCCTTACCCTAAAAAAACATCCCCATGGGCATTCGTTGGAATCGCCAATACTTTTAGACAAAGGGAATAGCTAAGTGCCACCTCGCAGCCATTAAAAGCCATGCCCAGACAGTCCACTGTTGCTCGGTCATCGAGATTCAGCCACGATCTGGAAAGAGATTATTTTGCACAAGCTCAGTTACATCCAGCAATTCATCTGTACAACTCCCCCTCTCAAGGTCCAATTCCGCGCATAGTGCTCAGTTAAGAAAAGTAAAAGTAGATTTAAACGTTCATCGTGATTTTGCATTCAGCACCTTTGCTTGCACACCTGGTCCACTTGAGGGGTGTGCTGGAAAGGAGAATTGAATGAATGCATTCAATGAGTTGTCCAAATCCAACCTCTTGAGTGTAGATTGGCCTTTTCCCAATGGAACATAAACCCAAAACCAAACCCATTGCCGTCGAGTCGAGGCCAACTCATAGCGACCCTTTAGGACAGGGTAGAACTGTCCCAAAGGGTTTCCAAGGCTGTCATCTTTATGGGAACAGACTACCACAGCTGGTGGGTTTGAGCTGCTGACCTTTTGGTTAGCAGGCAAGTGTTTAACCACTGCACCACCAGGGCTCCTTCCATGGAGCATAGTATTAATTCATCAAACAAACAAAATGAGACAGTGCAGATCCCAGATCCCTCCATTATCTAGTTTATATCAGAGTCCTTTCAGCTACCAGGACCAGCAGACAGAATTTTGTTGTACAGGGATTTTCTTTATAAAGCACTATTGGGGGAAGTCAGGAATGGCCCTATGTTTAGCTCTCCAAGAATGTCCTGGGATGGGTAGGGGGTGCCTCCATTTTGGTTGGTTTTGAGAGTCTCTTTTTGACATTAGTCTTTTTGATGACGCACGCGTTGCAAAAGGAAAATGTAAAAAACACACCCCTCAAATTGCTTTGTTTCAGAATGCTTTTGCACCCTTGACCGATGCCAAGACTAGGAGCCATGCTGATGATGTGGGTCTCGTTCTTTCTTCATTGCAGGCTAGTATATACCGAGGGGGATACAACCGTTTTGCTCCATACTAAATGACAATACCATAAGAACCTCCCCGTGTGGGGAGAAAGGAAGCTTTCCGAGGCCTGGGTATTGCAATACATGCAGTAGTGCATCATTTTAGCCACTCTAAAAAATAAAAATAAAATAAAAAGAGGAAAAACAATTACATTTTTTATCTTATACCTCAGATATTTTGTTCTGTGTATTTTAATATTGTGGGTCTTTAATTTCTGAAGATTCCGTAGTTTGGTCGCTGGCGGTAGGAGTTTTTGTGGTTGATCTAGAGAGATGCTAGATATGCATTTAAAAACAAAAACAAAAAAAACTGGTTTAGGGCCATATCCAGAGTGCTATATGGTGTAAATGAATTCTATTAGGCTGAATATTAAGCTTACTGGGGGTATCAGCTGTTCGGGAAGAGAGGAAGTGACTACAGCAGTCATTGTTTCCTGCATCTGTATTATTTTAGTTTATGAAAGGAGAAGGGTGGGAGGGATTGGGCTGGGGTTTGGCTAAAATTAAAAAAAAAAAAAAAAGTAACTGATGAATCTATACGACCCACTGCACCAAGTACCATAGAATAACTATTCTAAGTTAGTCATTGTCGATTCAAGCCAAAGGTTACGTTGTTAAGGGGTTTGCTTCTAGTATCACTTGTGCATTGGAGTTGAATGAAGCCGTGCAAACCCACCCTTTAAACCATTCCACCCAGCAGTATTCAGCTTCTTAACCAGCCACTAGTTATTTAGGCAAAAACTGCTAGTTAGGCCATCAACAAGCATTCTTTTTATATTTCTTCCAGTCTAATAAATTATTGATATCATTGCTGACTTTTATATTATGGGAGGGAAAAAAATAACATTAATAAAAAGGTGATAAAAAGCACTGTTTCTATTTTTTTCTTTTTTTCCAAAAAAAAAGAAAGTAATAAAAACTTAAATTCTTTGTACCAGTTAAAAAAAAAAAATGTATAAAATTTACATCTGTGCAGTGGAGTTGTTAAGTTCTAGAAACAGTCTATAAGCTTTAGTTTTAGCCTAGTAGAACAACTGTTAGAGACAGACGTATAATTTTTATGGAATTACATGATGATCATATTCGGATTTATAGAAGCATTTTACAAGTATTGCAATCATTGAGTAGAGATAATCATGGTATTTTCATCCGCTTGGGACTTTTTGAAACATGGCTGTGTCGTGTAAGCAATCTGCAATTTTTCCGGCGGTGACAGCCTGCCCCCACACCCCCCACCTCGTAGCCCAACGAGTTTCTCAAACCGGTATCTTTAGCTCCATCGCCAAGGCCCAGGACACTTGTCAGAAAGAAGCAAAAAAGCAGGTCCACCCTATCCCTGTCTGCAAAACAAAGGCGCCCCTCCCCTTGTCCGATGCAGGGCCAGAGTGGCACAGCTGAAAAATTGCAGTTTGTACTGTATTTCTTCTGTTTGAACCCTTTTCATGTTGTCCTGTTTACAAGTTCACCTGAGTTGGGGTGTCTGTCACGGGTCTTCCTGTTTTTGTATTGAAATAAAACAAGCAAACAAATCGCCAACAACGCAGCAGGCTGGCCCCGAGTAGTTCTGCTGCGATAGTTCCCTCCTCGTGTGTACGGTGCAGGCCCCACGCCGCGCACTTTAGTAAGGTATCAACTCACTGCTGTTAAGCTGCCAATCTGCTGTAACAACTCTGCTTTCAAACAAAACTTAAAAAAAAAAAAAGTGTTTGTGATCAGCTTTCTCTTGTCATCTTACATGCATGCAGTTAAGATCAGTTGGATATTAAACCATCAATAAAGTTTCACAAGATTCGAACACACAGTTTCTGTAGCTTCGATATCTCGGACAGATCATAGGGATCTGGAAAAAGGGGGAGGGGGAACTGCTGAGCAGCGAAAGCGTAGACAATGTTCTCTTCACCAGACTTATTCGGGCGGGGGCAGGGAGGGGCAAGGGGGTGTTTTATACAATGTCCAGGACAACGGGGTGCCTGATTCATGCTTTTAAAGGAAACTGAGTTGATGAAAACGCTACAGCATCCTACTGCAGAGGGGAGAAAGAGAGTAGGAATCGGGGCTGGGAGAATAAATGGATTTCTCTCCACTGCCTCAGCTTTCAAAGTCCAAAATTTGCATTGTGTTGGAATCACAAACATAGAATTCTTACTGTGTTGGTTAAAGTAAAATTCATTTGCGGTTTTGATTTTCGTCGATGAGCTGTATCTTTCCCCCATGACTGTACGTAGTTTTAATAAAATCATTTAGAGCAAGTGGGTGCCAACTGATAATACAGAATCTTTTGTCTAAGCGCTCCTCCAAGATGCCAATAAGTCATTTTAAAATGTATGTCAGAGATGTAAACGAACATTTTGGATTTTTTTAACAGTATTTATTTGGAATGTTTTCATTTATCTAAATAACTATTGCTATTATGAATTATGAAAAAAAGATTAATATCATGTGTGGCATATAGTGACTTCTTAACACACACATCATGCAATCTGCAAACCCAGAAAATGTGTATATCTGTCTTTAGAAATTAGTGTTTATATCACTTACAGTGGTTTGTGAATAAAGAAAACTGGTTTGTAATATCAAAAAAATAAAAGCTTAGTCTGAAAAGGTACCTATGACCTGGTGTGCTGAGTCCTTTTGCTTCTCGGGGTTTCTGAAGTGGGTGGAGTCACTGCACACAGACGGCTTCACCTGTGCCCACTGAGGGGCCGGGGGGTGGATGCTGCCAGGTGAGCAGTGGGCTGGGTGCACGGCTCGCGGACTTGGAGGGCTTCTCTTCCTTCCTCCTCTTTCCAGAAGTCGATAGAACTAGCCACCGTTGTTTAAGAAAGAAACAGAATTCAGCCTAGCACGTCCCCAGTGTGGGAATGCCAGCCTTTGGTTTAAAACAAAACGAAAACAACAACAGCAAACCCTGTGCATTACAAATCGAACATATGTTCAAGTTATTAATACAACATTTTAGGGGGGATCTTGGAGGAGAAAATGGTAATAGCAAGCGTTGGAGTTAACATTTATTGAGTGCTTACTATGAGCCAAACGTACTGATCAATCTCTTGTGTTTACTATTTATAGATCTCAATAATCCTGTCAGGGTTTCTTTATCCGCCCCTTTTAATGATCTTAATAATATCTTAATCCTATCTCATTTAAGAATACGAATATTCTTATCAGGTAAGTAGCACATGGAAAGGTTAAAAAAAATGTGGGCTCTGGAAGCAGATACTCTGGAATTGGAATCCTGCGCCTGCCACTTCTAGCTGCGTCCTGCTGTTGTGTGCCGTTGAGTCAATTCCAACTCATAGCTATCCGATAGCACACAGTAGAACTGCCCCATAGGGGTTTTGAGGCTGTCATTTTTACGGGAGCAAAACACCAGGTCTTTCTTCCGAGGGGCCGCTGGGTGGGTTCCAACCACTGACCTGTCAGTTAGCAGCTGAGCGCTTAACCAGTGCACCACCAAGTCTCCCTAGCTGTGCTCCAGAGCACGTGAAGCCAGAGCTCTGCACTTGCTGTTCCCCGCGTGTAAATTCAGGACGACAGCAGCATCTGCCTCTTCATCGTGGTCTGAGGAATCAATAAAACTATGTGAAGTGCTCACAGCAATACTTCATAAAATGTAAACAATTATTGACACACAAAGAAACTGAGACACCAAGAGGTCATTGTACCCAAGACCACACAGTGAGCAAGTGGCAAGGCCAGGATTCCAGAATGTGCGTTCTTAACTGATAAGGAACATTCCTGATTAGCCCAATGAGAACTTTTAGTATTCAGCTTAGAGATGAGAAGTCTTATTCTGGTTACCATAGGGAGATCTTGGTTCTCCGGTCCGTTTCCTTTCTATACTGCAGGTTGTCTTAATAGCATGCATTATACCATTTCAAGTATATTTAATTGTCCCTTCTCTGTAAGCTCCTTATACATAGGACCATGCAGCTTGTAAAAGGAGCCCCAATGGTGCAACAGTTAAGCACTCGGCTGCTAACCGAAACATTGGTGGTTGAGACCCACCAGCCGCTCCGAGGGAGAAAAGACCCGGCAATCTGCTCCCATAAAGATCTCAGCCTAGAAAAGTCTACAGGGAAGTTCTGTCACATGGAGTCACTATGAGTCAAAATTGACTCAATGGCACACACCAACAACAATATGCAAGTTATAGAGTCCCTGGGTGGTGCAAATGGTTAACATGCTCAGCTGCTAACCAAAATGCAGAGGTTGGAAACCACCCAGAGGCACCTCGGAAGAAAGCCCTGGCAATCTACTTCCAAAAAATCAGCCATTGAAAACCCTATGGAGCACAGTCCTACTCTGACACACATGAGGTTGCCATGAGTTGGAATCAGCTCAGTGACAACTGAAAAAACAATGCAGGTTAGAACCAACTTTTATTGCTCTACATCAATTGATCCTTGATGATAGTACCACCCTTATTTTATATCAGGATCCGAGAGGCTATATGGTTTGCCTAAAGTAACATCTAGCAACTGGTGGGAACAGACTGCATGTGAACATCTGTCTGAGTCTAATGCCTCTGCCCTTATCCGAAAATTCTGCTCCCTTGATGATGAGGAAGAAGATGACAATGAAGATGGTAACGTTGAACTTGCATTTCTGATGATCTTCTTACAAAATATGCGAGGCTCTATCAGTTACAACAAGGGACTTACTGGTTTTATCCTGGTAGGTGGCAGAGAGAGAGAAATAAAACTGTCTCCTAAAATACCGGTTTATCAAGGAGCCCCTTGCCTGTGCAAATGTGAGACTGAAGTAGAGATGGCCAAGGCAGTGGTTTACACTGGACTCTCCAAAGGCAAACTCCTCTCTAAAACGGAGATTAGCATATAAATCTCATGAGAAGTGCAAAGAAAATGAAATGTGAATGCAGCAGTGAAAGAGGTTCTTAAAAGTTTCCATCAAATGTCTGTCCCCTCTCCCTTCTTTCTGGAGTGTGGGCAGAAGTGAGAAAAATAGCTCAAAGGAAGTACATCCGTGTTGTATATTCTTTGTCAGTGTAAACAAACCAAAAATCAAACCAGTTGCTGGCAGTCGATTCTGACTCACGGCAGCCCCACGTGTGTCAGAGCAGAACTGAGCTCCAGAGGGTTTTCAGTGGCTGATTTTTTTCAGAAGCAGATCTCCAGGCCTTTCTCCTGAAGCACCTCTGGGTGGATTCCAACCTCCAACCTTTCAGTTAGCAGCCTAGCACTTAACTATGTGCTCCACCCAGGACTCTGTCAGTTTCAATAGAGGCTGTTATTGATCTTTTTTTAGAGACAATGAGAGGTAATCATAGCCTCATTAAACGAAAAATTGGTAAAACAAAGCCAGCTGCTGTCCAGTTGATTTTGACTCTCGGCAACTCCGTGTGTTACAGGGTAGAGCTGCTCCATAGGGTTTCCTTAGCTGTCTATCTTTGCAGAAACAGAATGCCAGGTCTTTCTTCTGCTGTGCCACTGGGTGTGTTTGAATTGCTACCTTAAGTGGCAGTTCGAGCCCACCTAGTGGCTCCGTGGAAGAAAGGCCTGGCAATCTGCTCCCATAAAGATTACAGCCTAGAAAACCCCATGGGGGCAGTTCTACTCCGTCACACGGGATTGCTATGAGTTGAAAATGACTGAACAGCACCTAACAACAGGAGCAACCAGGCATTTGTGAAGCAAACTTAGGTTTTCTGAGCACTTCCCTCACTCACACACACACACACACATATGCACACACAAGTCCTTTTCTTCTGTGTCAATATCTGAGTGGTGCATGGTCCACAGGGAGCCCTAGTGGTGCAGTAGTTAAGAGCTTGACTGCTAACCAAAAGGTCGCAGTTCAAATCCACCAGCCACTCCTCAGAAACTCTATGAGGCAGCGCTCCTCAGTCCTATAGGGTTGCTATGAGTTAGAATAGACTCAGTGGCAATGGGTTTGGGTTTCTCTTATGGTCAAGAGCACCTAGTGAGCTTGTGAAAAATGTAGATTCGGGGGGGCCCCCCTGCTGTCAGCACTCCAGAAGTTCTGAATTGTATGGGAGGCGCCAGCTTCCAGTGAAGAGGGATGGCTCCCTGCTTTACTCTGCCTGAAGGTCTGACTCTTAGCGCTGGCAGAGCTGGTAAGCCTGTGTGTGCGTGAGTGTGTGTATGTGCACGGAACACAAGCACATACCTATGTAGCAATGCATATTCTCAAACTTTCTCATGCTTGACTTTTTCTTCTATACAGTCAAGAATAAGGAGAGAAGATAGTATTCTTGTAAAAGAAGAACTAAAACAGTCTTTCTTGGTTAGAAATTAAAAGTTAGGTTTTTTTCTGTCGGGGGAGGGCCGAGGGTTAGTCAGAGCCCTGGTGGTGCAGTGGTTAGGAGCTTGGCTGCTAACCAAAAGGCCGGCAGTTAGAATCCACCAGCCGCTCCTTGGAAACCCTATGGTGCAGTGCTACTCTGTCCTACAGGGTCGCTATGAGATGAGTCGGAATCGACTCCTCGGCAGGGAGTGTTTTGGTGTTATTATCTCATTTTATCTTCACAAACTGGCAAGGTAGGTACTGTCATTACGGTTTTATTCTGCACACATGGGGTCGCCATGACTCAGAATCAACAACGTACGGGAGGAAAGGGGAGCTTAAGCAGGCTGGGGACATGGCCCAGGATGCACAGTGATTAAGTGGCAGAGCTGAGCCCTGGAGGCGCCCGTCTGGCTCCAGAGATCTTGCTGCTAAATGCTAAACAATGATACTTTACGTTAACCTTCCACTTAATCCTCGCAGCCGCCCAGGTGAGCGGTGTGCCCGCATCGCAGAGCTCACGG